CTAAACCAACATAGGTATTTTAAGAGGTTATTTTCGATAATTAAAAGTGTTTTCATGGCATGTGTTTGTGTTTTCTGTTTGTTGATTTGTACTTAAAGAAAAAAGATGATGGTAACCATGTTTTTGTTTGAAGAAAAGTAGACTTTGAATGTCAAAAACGAATGAACTAAAATTCATTGACAAAAACAAACCTCATTATCTTCCTGGTTTAACGCAATATCTGATAACAAGTGATTTACTGCGTCAAATATCACTTCTGTTGTCCAAAGCTTAGTTGTGAAACTCTCCCACTCACGCGAAAACATTTGCGTATATATTTACTTTTCTCGTGTTCGTTATTACATACGTTATTAAGGCGAAAGTTATTGTAACACCGGGCAAAAATTAACAATTTTTTCTTCCAAAAAATAAATCGTTCTGTGGGACCTGATTCGGAAAACGTGGGTAAATCTCCTCTTAAAGCCAGGGTCCTTTAAAAATTAGACACCGAGAATTATTAATTATTTTATTTCATGATACAATGAAATTTTTAACAGCTCAGTTTTTCCGTCTTAAAATACGATTTATTCAGGCAGCTTTGAGCCCCCATCTCCAGTCTAATGAAAACAATTGATTTTTGGTTAATAAATGATATTACTTAGGATTAATTTTAAATTTCTCGATAATTAACATTTTAAAACAAACTTACTTTCTTTTGATATAACAAGTTTAAATCCAACAGAAGCTACATTTCTGGTTTGTTGAAATAGTCGGAAAAGAGCCAAATCTTGTTTCGGACGTTGTACTAAAATACTTCTATGCAAAACGATGTGTTAGTCAAAATTCACATTTTGCGTTCCTTTAAAACCGAGAATTTAGTGGAAGCTAAACCAGGCTCATACTTTCTTAGATTATTTCTAAAATTTTCATTTTCAAAACTTTAGAATTCACCAAAAAATTAGACTTGCACCATTTTTGTGCCCCTTTTTTTTTTTTTTCCTTTTTTTTTTTACTTTTTCTTTATTCCGAGCGAAAAATTAAAAGAAAAACTGCGGGGCGGTTTTGGGAATTTTTTTATAAAATATGCATTGACTTGAGCATAATGACGCAAAAACTACAGATTTTTTAAAACATTAGGACATAACCTTTTTTCAGATACTAATTTTAGAGAAAAATCCTTTTACACGTAGTGAGCCAGAATCCGTTTTGTGGGTCTTGATACCAATAATCGATTGGACGGCAAAATGTCTGTTTGTGAACAACGCTACTGGCTAAACCGTTCAGCCGATTTGCTCTAAACTGATATTCTCCCAATTGATCTGGCTGATGTCGAACTCCCTTGAATTTCAAAAGCGATATTTTAATTTTTGGCGCGAAATGTACATGAATCCACTAGGACATTTCAACAAAGGCCCTCCGTGATTTTTATTAAATTTTATTGTTTGTTAGGTGATGTGTTTAAGAGAAAGTGCAAGGTTTCATTTCGTTGAAAACTGATTTTTCGAAATGGCAAAAATTCAAACTCTTTCGGACTCTTCCTACAAACTAGAATTATGAAGATAGAGACTTTTTGACTTCAATGGCATGTGGGTCCTTAAAATAGATTTTTGAGGTAAGATAATGTACAATTTTTCGAAAAATTTGAGTAAACTTTTCGTGTAATTTTGCAGTGAAAGTATAATATGAAATAACGGACTCAATTCGTTTTTCGATGAAATTTTGTTGTTTGATAGTGTGAAGGACGTTTCAGAGAAAAGGTTTGTAGGTCGAATGATTCGTTGAAAAAAAAACCACCCTTACCCTAATTTTTCGGAAAAATTGGAAAAAAAAAAAAAATTTTTCAATTGTGGAATTCTTTTTCCCCTTTTTTTTTTTTTTTTTTTTTTTTTTTTTTGTCCCCCCCCCTTCGGCCCTGGTTCAAACTTTTAGTCAAGTTCCTGATCGAGTCATTTCAGTTAAATCGGAAAAGTTTTTTTCAACCCGTATACACCAATAATAAAGAAATGGCTTAACACATGTGGGAATGTTTTGAAATTTGTTTCTACGTTCTTTAATGCATTTAAAACAAGAAAGCTTAATATGTTGATATTTTAATTCATTATGTTTTTAATTGTGGACTGGATTCAAAATGTTTGAGACCTTAGAAGTAGTACAAGTGTAATGACGCCACGGACGTATCCTTCTTTACCAGGTGTTAACTAAAGGCGAACGACTGAACCGCTGTTACCGGCCATCACGTGATGGAGAGTAATAGCTAAGCATAAATTGCCTGAACTTACAAACTCGAAATACGCGTGAGGCGATGGCGAAGGACTTCTGGAATGACTTTGCCAAAATCATTGTTACTTCCCCGTATACGAACGTACATACGAAGTAAAATGCGTAGTATAGGGAAAGTTATGTAATGCTGAGGAAAATCTATTTCGAGATTTCGACGGAAATACACGTTTTGGGGTACCCTGATACCGAAAAGTGTTGTTTATTTTTCAAAACGTCCGTCCTTCCTATTGTCTGACGATCCGTCGGTTCCTCTGGTTATGTGAACAACAGTAGTGCCTAGAACTTTTTTCCAAATTGAAGAAACCCCAGTCCATGTGGGACATTTTCAAAATTTTCTGGAACACCGCTCCAATTTTTTTTCTTTAAATTTCTTGTAAGAATAGAATTGTAATTTTTTGACTTGCCTCTCATGTAGTTAGTACTTATTTTAGCGGCAAATCGTTCAAATTATTGTATTTATGAGTACATGTTCTTTAAATAATGTCATATAAAGTTTCTCGAAAACTCTATCGTTTTCTGTAAAAACTAGCTCAATATTCCGCCTTTTTCAGAAACGCTCAAAAGCCAATTTCTCAAAAAGAAAATACAGAAAAATTAAACATTAAGCGAAAAAAAGGAAAGCGCTTAGTATTCCGACGTACACTTGTCTTCAACGCAAACTAAATTTAAAAAAATAATTAAAATAGTGTAATTTTGAATTTTAAATAACACATTGTTGTGTGCTGCGACCTTGCAAGATTCTGAGAGAAAAAATACAGTATTGCACAGACTTTCTCGAATTAGATTTTCTATTTCCTTTGAGTCTCTGTTAGCTATTCGAACTTGCCAACATATTCATGGCCTGTTACCATTATCACAGCAAAAACTAACTTTTTTTGACATTTTCCTACATTTTTCGGGGTTCCTAATTGGTAGACCAGAAATATTATTTTAGGTTTTATTGGAAGAACGTAAACTTCATCCTAAATGGCAGTTTTCTTTGAAAAAAAGCTTTTTTTTAATAAAAAAATGGTGTTTAAGCGCTACTGTAAATACGAGATTTGAAGCTCCTTTTCTCAAGAAAAGTTTTGATTTTCGAAAAACTTAATTTAATAGTCATATTAAGTCACTTCCAGAAGTAAATAGAGTTTACAGATTGCTGGAAATGTACAAATTAACGTTGTGAGGATCTTATCAAAATAATTTACATTTGTGTATATTTGAAAAATCAAAAATATACCAATTAATTAATGTCATATATATAAAGTGCAATTTTCCCTATCCCGTTCGAATATTTGAAGAAAAATGTTTGGATCTTTTTGAGAAATTGGCTTTTTGAGCGTTTCTGAAAAAGGCGGTAATATTGAGGCTTAGTTTTTACAGAAAACGGTAAGAAGTTTTCGAGAAACTTTTATATGACATTCTTTAGAAACAATGTACTCATAAATACAATAATGTGAACGATATTGGCGCTAATTACAACGTATTAACTACATGAGAGGGAGTCCAAAAAATAACATTTTTGTGACTTTTTTGAAAAAACAAAAGAAAAATAGAGACGCAATATGGCGTTGATGTCTTCTCATCAGGAGTACATTTAAGTACTATCCTATCAAAGTCTAAAGAAAAAAATTGAGCCATTTTGATCGAAAAAAAAACAAAATCATCGTTTTTGCACATATTGCACGAAATAATTGCGCGAAAAAACTACTAAAATAAAAAGAAAAATGTTCCGTGACCTAAGTGAAAGAACTCACTAAGAAGAACAAAATTTTAATTGAAGGAAAATCTGTATCTTTAATTTTGGCAGTTGTAAGAAGAGACAGAAACAGATTCATAGTTTTTTCCATTTTCGAAAATTCAGAGCTAACCATGAAAATCGGACGCTACACCTTTTTTATAAGGGTGTGTTAGCCTATTCTTACAAGAAATTTAAAGAAAAAAAATTGAGTGGGAGGGGGCGGTGTTCCAGAAAATTTCGGAAAATGTCCCAAATGGACTGGGGTTTCTTCATTTGGAAAAAAGTTTTTAGGCACTAGTGTTGTTCACATAACCAGAGAAACAGCACGGATCGTTCAGACAATCGGATGGACGGACGCGTTTTGCAAAAATTAACAACACTTTTCGGTAATCAGGGGACCCCAAAACGTGTATTCCGTCTAAATTCTCGAAATAGATTTTCCAACATGGCATTACATAATTTCCTTGTACTAACGCATTTAACATCTTTGTATACGTTTCGTAATACGGGGAAGTAACAATGATTTTGCAAAGTCATTCCAGAAAGTCCTTCGCCATCTCGTCAACGCGTATTTCGAGTTTGTAAGTTCAGGAAATTATGCTTAGCTATTACTCTCCATCACGTGATGGCCGGTAACCCGGTTCCTCGTTCGCCTTTAGTTTAATCAACCGTGGTAAAGAAGGATACGGCCGTGGCGTCATTACGTTGCACGTACTTCTAAGTCTCAACATTTTTTGATTCAGTCACAATTAAAACATAAATGAATTAAAATATTCAACAAATTTAAGCTTGTTTTAAATGCATTAAGAACTTAGAACAATTTCAAAACATTCCCAAGATGTTAAGTTTCATTTTTTATTATTGGTGTATACGGGTTTGAAAAAACTTTCCGGATTTAACTGAAATGACTCGATCAGGCAACTTGACCTAAAAGTTTTGAACCAGGGCCGGCACTAGGTTATTTTGCGCCCCCGACATAATAATCAATAACAAATAAAAAACCATAATATAATAGTAATACAATAATAATAAATAATAATAATATAATATCAATAATAATAATAATGCCCTGCTTCCCAGATAATAAATACTTGGTTAAAAAAAATATGAACGCGCAGAAATTATTGTTCAGAATATCAACATAAAGACAATAATGACAAACTAACACGAATTCGATAATTATTTAAAAATAATGTATGATGCATATCTAAGCTTTCTTCTTACAAAATGTGAATGGTTATTTTATTAAATAATTGTGATCAGTACCAGTAAGCTGAAATAAAGAATAATATTTATTATAAAAAAGTAATACTAAAAAATTGCGCGCTAGGTGATTCGCCTAGTTGCCTATAATGTTTCCTGGGTTCAAGACTCACAATTTGATAAGAATAATCTCTGAGTGTGTCGATTGAGATGTTCGTTTACATCACGACCTATTAAAATATCTTTTTACCATGTTAATACACGGCAATATTCTCAAAGTTAAAGAACCATCCATAAACTGTATACTGTGACCTATTACATTCTGCGCTTCTCGAAGACGTGAGAGGATTTAGTTTGCTAACTGCACGAACCCTTTCCTCGCGAGCTGGAGTTACGCTTTTCTCTAGCGGAGCGCTGTTTTGGCCGAGCGGGTCCGTGAAGGCACACTACCCTGCTTAGCCTCTCGCTTTTCTAGCGTTGACCCATTTGGCAGGCGCGCGCGGCGGCGTGTGCAGCTTCCCGCCGCACGCCCTTCGCGCCCCGGCCACGGTCAGGGGCCCTCCGCGCGGGCGGCTCGCGGGCCTCGATCCAAGCGACGTGCCCAGGTGCAACGGCGGTGTAGCGTGCCCGCGGTACAGCTTGCGTACTGTTCCAGAACGCACGATTTCTGCTTGGAAAACGTTTTGAGCATGCTCCTAATTTTTCATACAGAACGTGATCGGTTGACTCAAGGCGCCTCTTGCGGCAGAATCGTTCACTAACCCGGATTTTGTTGAACCATAGTAAAATTCTCTTTGACCTATAAGTACAATATTTATTCTTATTATTTCTGGATATTTCTACTGTATTTTCATGTGGTTTGTAGAGAACTATAATGGTAATGTAAGGCCTTTTAACTTTTTAAAGACAGTGGGTGCAAAACGAAAAATAGGCAATATTTATAAGGTTTTTATACATATATTTTTATATTTTCCTAACTGTAATTGATTATTTTAAATTATATTTACTGTTTAAAAGGTACAAATTCATAAAGAAGTGTTTATTGTAAGAACAATCACTACAATAACAGGAGAACTAATTCTAAAAAGCGGCATGACGCTGATATAAGTAACACCCACTGAAAGTTCAACTATCAAATCACTCCAAATACTATTGTCACCTGTTTACGTTTATCCCTAAGATAGAAACAGGCACGTACTTGCAACCAGAAAAATTCATATTGGCGCTCTCGTGGACGACACAAAAAGAGACTTTTCATTAAGATTAAACGTGATGTACAATGTAGAAATTATTTCTAATCCTTTTGCGTAGAACATTCCAAATTCCAACAGCAATGATAGAAGGCAATTATAAGACATCAAAAATAAAGAATCAACAATCAGACAGATATCATAATTTCCAATGAAGTTTGGTGAGAAAAATATATCAAACTTTTGATTGAAGAGTGTTAGATACCAGAAACAATCATGCTGTATCAGACCCGATGCATTCCAGATTTGGCTCCTGACTGTGTGATACTTGAACGTTAGCAGAAGCTTGTTTGTTCTATTTTGAGAGTGTTTTTTGAGTCGAATTTTGAGAATAAACTGAATTTGGTAGGTAGCCTAGGTAGGGTTATATATTGTATTAACGTTGAGAAATATTAAAGAATATATATTTAATATTTATTTACTATGGGACGATAAAGGCACAACATTGTGTTTTCAATAAATTTAGGGGTTTTAAAATTACAATGCTAACAACTCTTGATTTCTCTTAAATACATAAGGAAGGATACAGTGAATCATTACAATCGTCACGTCTCTTGAAATCAAAATAGTTTGAAAAATTATCAGCGATATACATTTAAGAGCGAATACATACATCTGCTACTTGACAGCTCCTGGTTTGACAGAGGAAAGGGTTCTTTGAACAATCAGAGGCGTAAATTGACGATGCTGTCACTACAGTATTGTCGACGTTTACTAAGGAAAAAATTAAAATCTCGTAGTGCGAAGCCGGGTATGCGTTGTGTACGGTCCCTGTGTCATGTATATGTATATATATATATATATATATATATAATATATATATATATATATATATATTAACACATTATATATAAGTGATGATACGTTAAAGGCTGATATACTTATAACACGTTTAATATATGTACAATAGCACCTTAAAGGATATATCTAATTTCTAACCGTTCTATTATTAGGTACGAAAACAATTAAGAAATGTAAAAAACGTTGGCGGCATAGATGGCGCATGAAGTGTGGCAAGTCCGTATAGATAAGGCGAGGAAGCGGGAATGTCTGTGCCATTCTGCAGGCACCAGTAGTTCTATCTGATTGTCAACAGCTGATCGTGACGAATAGATGGTCAAGGCGTATCTAACAAGGTAGAGAACCACGTGCCCTCCTCTTTGGAAAATTAGTAGTGCAGGCGATGAATTTTGGATAATAATTAGTATGACGTTTTCGATTTTTTCTCTGCGCCGTCGACAGATAATGACTATCTATCGCAGAAAAGTGATGAAACAAAAAATTGCAATAGTTTTCAGTACTGCTTAAAACTTGCAAATCTCAGGAAATTATCGTCACGCTAAATCTATTGCTGTTTTGCTCAATGTGGTTCTCACGTAACTAGCTTGGTTCAACTCATCTAACTAATCCCATATTATTGAGTAAATTTGTTTGTACAATCTAGCGGTTACTCAAATGGTCCTTTTTACTTTCCCGTATACGTACGTATTACGTAGTTATAAGTGAGAAGTTATGTAATGCTGCGGATATTGATTTAGAGATTCAAAGGCCACAATACACGTTTTGGTGTCCCCTGATAGAAGAATAATTTTTTTTTTCTTAAAACTCCGTATGTCAAACCGTGCAGTTCCTCCGTCCTGGGTGGTCTGTGACAGTACTAGCGCATAAAGCATTGTAGGATTTTTTAAAATGAAGAAACCTGTGTCGAGTCGACACTTTGAGATTTTGGAATTCATTCTTTCAAAATTTGGGGGTACTTTACATGAAAGCTCGCGGAAATTTAAAAAAAATTTTAAAAAAGTGTTACTACATTTTTCTTTAAATTTTTCTTTTAAAAAAAAGAATAAAATGCACTTACAGGAAGTGGCGTAGGTCAGTTTTCACGTTAACACTAAATTTTCGAAAATTTAAAAAAGTATCATTTTTTCGGTGTGTTCCTACAACTAAAACAAAATTAAATATAGAGATTTTCCTTCAATCAAATTTCTTCTTCACAGTGAGTTTTTAGTAAGGCCACCTCACATTTTTTAAAATATTTTAGTAGGCTTCACGCAATATCGCGTGAATTGTGGTGCCAATTTAAAAAAAAAATTACAAACCAAGAATTTTTCCTTGCC